AAAATCTGTGGGAACATGCTGTCGTTGGGATGTGCTGAAGAGATGAGCTCTGGCACCTACGCCACACTGGAGAACTGTGAGGACAAACATTTGGGAGGAAAGCTGAGCTGATCCTAATTGAAGCAGACACCAGTGCTCCTTCATTGAAACTCCACCAGCTTTGCCAACCTGATGTCAGGTTCTCCATCACTGTGTGAGGGTCGCCTCCAGGCAGGGCATGCTAAAAATTAATTATGCATGCATATCCTCCCTCCTCTTTCCCACATGTGCACAGATACACTCCAAGTGAGCAAAGAAAAGCATGTGGGAACTGCTTCTTGACACCACTTTTGTCAGTGAGTATGTTTTGCTGCAAGTGAGGGCGTTGGTTCTGTGTCCCAGGAGATTTGGGCAGATGAAGATTATATTGGGGCTGCAGGCATTGCAGGGCTCATCATTAATAGTTTACAGAGGACAGTAAACTGAGGAGGACTATTTTACTACAAAGGCTGGCCACACTCTTATTCAAATTTTTTAAAAAAACATTTGTTAATTTTGGTGTGTGCTGGATTGCTTGGTTTCAAAGATTTCTTCTTATTTGGGAGCATACATTTTCAAGTTATAATTTTCTTTCCCTGCCTACTTGGGCTATGGGGAATAATTTACTCACATCTGCAGCTCAGCATTGTAGGAATGGCTTTCCTGGAGAGGGTGTGGTGTCTTCCCTCCTAGATGCTCTGACATTCTCCAGGGTCAGGAAGGCCTCTGAGATCTGGCAGGGACCATCTGGGCTTTTTGTTCCTTTTTGCAAGTGAGAGCAATGAGTCATTCATGAGGAACATCTGGGGATATTTCCTTTAATCAGGTTTTTTACTGCTCTTGTGGCTTTGGGTATTAGCACTGTCTCTGCCACTTCTGTTCTCTGACAGAGGCATGCAGCAGTTGAATCTCCCAAGAGTCAACTAAGCCATCTTATTGGCTCCCTCCAGGGGTAGCTGGGTGAAACTTAACGGTCCATGAGACACAACAAGTCAGTAGAAATGATCTAATGTCCCTTTCTAGTCTTAAAGTCAGTGAAATGGTGAAAATTCTGCTTCTAAATGAAACAGCAGATGAGCAGTTGCCAGGATCTCCTACCAGGCTTCTTCCCCGTGTCCATAGGGATCAGTTTCCTTTTTACAGTCTTGTTTGCAGATTCTCAGCAGAATTGTACCATCTTCACTCCTGGAGACCGAATTCTAATTCTCAACCTTCTGTGCAGCCCAGTTGCTCATCCTACTCACTCAAATGTCAAGACTGGTTCAGCTCCTCTTTGTGGTGACTGTTTCTGAGAGAAACTTTTTGGCTTGTCTTCTTTAACCAAAACCTAAAAGATATACCTGTTTTATCTGATGCCTTTCACACAGGTCAGGTCAAACCTCCAGTTTTGAAATACCTGTGACTCTCCTTAATGCAGAAATCAGTCTTGTTCATCTACTCTCTCCAGTTGAGAGCTATAGCAAAAAAAAATGTGTTTTTAGTACAGTCTGGAGAGGTTTCACCTCACCTGGCTGCAGCAGGCACTGCAGAGCCGTGTCCAGGGAGCAGGTGGCTGTCGCTGGGTTGTCTCTCCAGCATAACCAGGTGACAATCAAGGTAATGCCTCTGCTTTTACTTATTTTTTTTTCTTGGATTGACACAAGGCAGCCTCGGTGAGAGAATCTGTGCCTGGAGAAGGAGGGATATGGGGTGTCCGTGGTGCCTGATGCGGCACACACTGGGAATGTCCCAGCTAAAAATCCCAGCCTATTCAATTTTACAAGACTGATGAGGGTGAACAAAATAGTAGTTTTGTTTATCAATCATTATGAACTATATTTTGCTACGGTTTGTTTAGAGGAAAACTGTTCTGTAATTAATTACAAATTCACTGTAAGATAATAGCACAGGTTCAGCCCAGTCCTTTCCCACTGTGCAGCCCAGAGGTCACAAATAGCACATGCAAACTGTCACAGATGTCTTTATCTGCATCCAAGCAAACCCTCTTCACTCATGCTCACATCCTTGGATAGGTAAACATTTATACTGTTGCATTTCACCTGGATTCCTGCCTGCAGCTTGAGGCTGAACTGCCCAAATTCAACTGCTAGAGCCGGTCACCAGGCTGGCTGCTCTGCAGTCCTCAGCAGGAAAAGCTGAGCTGTGGCCAGCTGTCCACAGGTAGCTGGCACAACACTTGCAAAGTGTGATGTCGTCACCAGCAAATTGGCCAGGGGAGCTCAACTTCTCAGACCTTTCATTCCAGCATGATCTTCATCCCTTTTATGTTTTTTTAAGCTTTTTAGAAAGCCATCAGTCAGAGGCTGGTGACTGCTCGTCACTATAAAAACAAAGAGAGCTTAAAATAATTGCTTCCTCTACGTAAGGTTTGCAGTTCTTAGTAGTATGTTATTAGGAATTTGCAGAGCAGTCAAATGAGAACAGAATAATTAATAAATTTTCTTCATAAAGTGATTAAAGCAAATGTAAAGAAATTCCAGTGATCTCTTAGCATTTTAAATAAAGAATTTAAAATAGCCCTGAGATTTACACAATTTTGCACCACTGCTTTTACATTTTGCCAAGTTCAGTCCCAGAAAAGCAGCTGCAGCTCTCACTCTTCACTTTTCCAGATTAATTGACATAACAGTTTCTCTGTTTTTCTTTGGGTGATAACCCTCAGCAAGTCTTTTTTTTTCCCTAAATTATCTGCCTTGTCCATGACTCCTCATAGCTTGCAAATACAAAGTGAGTGAGGGTTCTTTCCAAATGTACTAATGATAAAAGTGTGTTCCTTCTCCCAGTTGTCTTTGGTGCAATCTGTTTCAAATGCTGGGACTGATGATGTCTCAGAACAGTGTAGGAGGGATGCCTGAGCGTGACTGAGACACAGAGTTAAAAAAATAAATTCTAAAAAATAAGAGATTCCTTTCAAATAGAAAATAAAATTCAAGGAAGCCATGCCTTGTCTGAAACAAAACAAACCTGATACGTTTGTTGTCTGGATTATTAATTGTACTGGATTGTTCAGCTGTCCCGAAAATGTCTCTTTAATCATTCACTGAGTCTGAAGCCTGGGTCTCCCAAGACCACATTCTGATCTCTCACATATGGTATATCACACCATTCATTAGACCCACTGCTCCAGTCACATGGAAATGATGTTCAGACTATTTCTATCCATATCTGCTACTTTTCTTCCTGAATGTGTCAGTCTCATGATGAGGGTAGCGACTCCAGCTGATACAGACACAATTGCTGATTGTAAAGAGAGACACTGCTGTGAAAATAAAGAGAAAGGGGGGTTATTTTCGTCATGGTTCGGGCTTTGTGAGGCATCCCTGCAGAACCACAAATTCCTTTGTGGGAGGAAAATTCCAAGATCACAGGGGCTAATCAGTGAAAAGTGGATGGGTGACCTTGGGAACAAACTGAGGGACTGGGATGCCCAAAAGCTGGGCTGAACTCCAAGATGAAGGAAAAAGTTCCATCAGTGTAATGAGATTCAGTCCTCAGCTCTGTGCTGTTCCAAAAGCACAGCTGCTTTGTTTGGGTGGTGAGATGGGAGAAGGGACTTGCCTTGCACAGTGGGAAGCAGGATTTCTTGCTCTTATCTCTGAATGTTTGATGGTGGCAGTAAGAGAAGTGAGGAACAAAGCAATTTTACTCAGGATGGCTGTAAGCCAGTCAGGGGAAGACCCTCCCAGCTGGAGGGACAGAGCTCAGAGGGAGCCCAGCTAAGGATGCAATAAGCTCACATTTAGGAGCCTGCCCCCAGCCACACATGCAGAAGGTTCAGCACTGATGTCTACCAGCAGAAACCGGGTCAGGGGATTTCCAAGCAGCACAGAGCACTTGCCAGGGGACCCCAGAATGTCACATCCAACTCCTCAGCCTGCACTTGGCTGGGGAGGGCAGGCAAGTAATGTGTGAAGTGTTGAGTCAGTATAAATGTCACAGCCAAAGGTCTTCAGAGTCAGAGTGACAACAGGAGGAGACATTAGTGCCAGGAGTTCTGACACAGAAAAAATGCTGTCACTGCCACCACCTCCAGCTTGGAGATTTATTGATGGTAACTTGGGATGTGCAATAAACAGGGGTGATATTAAATGGGTTTGACTGTCTTGGGGGCTAAGTTTTACAACCCAAAGTGTGAACTCTCTCTGTCTCACTGAGATCCCGAGGCGTTTTTCCGGCAGCTCCCAGGATATCATTAAGTGCTCTCCAGAGAAGGGCTCCAACACGAGAGAGCCCTCCCTGTGCAGCACAGCACCAGCTGCTGAGGAAAGACACAGATATCTGCCAGGGAACTCCTGATGCAGATCTCCCAGGACACTGCTGCTACCTCGCTGAGCACACACCCTTCCCCACCATGGCTTTGTGGGGAAACCAGAAATTGCCCCGCAGGTGTCCCTGAGTACCAGCAGTCTCTGGTGTCAGAGGCTCTGACCTCAGTGTCAGCAGCTCGTGCTGCAGAAAAACCTCCCTGTAGCTGTGCTGTGACTGCATTGAACCTGGTCAACCTTGGCTGAGATGTCCTCTCAGAGTGGCCTCTGCGGCTTCAGAGGTCAAACCCACAGTTGCCTTCTGGAGTCACTGGTCACAAAGGGCCGTGCGATCATGCAGATGTTTGCCTTCTGCTCTGTAAATGCATCTGGGTCTGCAATAGTCCCTTTCTGATAAGGGTTTCCCGTGTTCAGATAACACATTTTATCCCAGAAAGCAGCAAAATCATCAGCAGAGCTCTGGTGATACTGATTTAATTCTTCTCTGTCACTTCTGCCCATCAAAGGTAAAGCAGGTCTGTGGAGACCAAGAGCAGAGCACCACACGATCACAAGCCCTGTTCTTCACAGGTTCCTTCATCAACTCACAGGCCTGGGGTAAAATTATCTAGTGCGGAGAAGTCACAGATTATTTCAGGGAAAAGGTTTATTTTGGTGAAATTCCTGAGAAACCTCCTTGCCCTTCTGCCCTGATGACCTTTCTCTCTGCTCCTCCAGTCTGCTCGCAGTTCTCCAAGGGCGTCTATGCCATCTTTGGATTTTATGAGAGGAGGACTGTCAACATGCTCACGTCTTTCTGCGGGGCTCTCCACGTCTGCTTCATAACGCCAAGCTTCCCTGTCGAGACGTCCAACCAGTTTGTCCTCCAGCTCCGCCCAGAGCTCCAGGATGCCCTCATCAGTGTCATCGAGCACTACAGCTGGCAGAAGTTTGTGTACATTTATGATGCTGACCGGGGTAAGTCACAAGTATGTGGGAGGGTTACCAGGCAGTTGAACATAGTGCTCTAGATGGAGACTTTGCCTCCAGAAATCCTCTCACTGTCGGTTTCTGCAGGCTGAGAGGGTGGCTAAAGGAAGGGTCAATCTATGCCTTCCCTGTTCTCTGTTCCTTTAATAAATATCCATTTTTGCTGAAGGTGGGTGTTGATCCACATGAAGCATCAGCCTGACCCAGTATGTCTGTGTTCATGGAGCCAGGTTTGAGCCCCATCAGCATGAGGGAAATACTTAATGTGTAGATGGTTTGAGTTTGAAGTGGTGAAATTGTTTATATTCCATGTCCCATATTGAACTGGTCTGTCAAAGTCTGAGTTCCCAGTTTATAAATATGAATGGTTTCACCTAAGCCCACACTCAGGTGTGAAACGTGTCTGGCAGATAACTTGAAAACCTCCAACTCCCCTGTGTTAGCACATGCCAGTTGTCTATGTAAAACAATAAAACCTTTGTTGGGTTCTTGAAGTTATTAGCTTATTTTCTAAACCACAAACAGGGCTAGTGAGCTCACTGCTCTGTGATTCAGTTTTCCCAGCTCTCAGATGCCTTTAAAGCATCCAGGCTTGGAGGCTGGAAGCCAAACAGACTTGTGGAGGACAGGGTGGAGGTAAAGGTGATTCACAGCTCTGTCCTGGAAGTTATTGTTGTCCTTTGAAGGGACAGGATGACCTTTAGAGACAAGAAGAAGGTATGAAAGCCTCACACCTGCTTTCTATTGTCCCGCATCATGGGCACACTGAATATCCCAAAAAGACTGCAACAGGCAGGGTTGTCCATTAGGATTCCAGAGCAGTGCTATGTGAATTTCCCCTGGAAGGCTGTGCATGTAATTTATGTAACATAATTTAAAAAATAATGGTTTTCTCTCTGATGACAGAGAGAATGATGCTGAATATGATTGTGTGCTTTGATTGCTGAGGGTGTCCCTAACTCTAGGAGCATACAGCCTGAACAGATCAAAGACAAGAAGGAAACTCTGGCCAACAGAAATCAAGTTGTTTCAGTAGTGACAGACAGGAAAATGGGGATTAGTGTTCTTATCTGAATCCCACAGCAGGGCCTGATCAACGAGACTGATCTGCTGATTACAAAGGAAAACTAGGCCTGGAATCATCTCTAACAGGACAGAAAAAGTAGCACTCATTAATTCTAGCCCAGCTGAGTTTGGGTAAAATCTAGACTATTAGCTGCTCTCTGTAGTTCTGCTGCACTCTTGTGACTTTGACTCCAGCCTGGCCTGAGGCAGCTGCACAGGCTGTCAGGAGGATGGAAAAATGTCATTGTACAGCTAAAACCTGGCTCTTTCCCCTCTCTTCCCATCACAGGGTTGTCAGTCCTACAGAAAGTGCTGGACACTGCGGCTGAGAAGAACTGGCAGGTGACAGCTGTCAACATCCTGACGACAACAGAAGAGGGCTATCGAGTGCTCTTCCAGGAGCTGGAGAAGAAGAAGGAGAGGCTGGTGGTGGTGGACTGCGAGTCTGAGCGGCTGAACATCATCCTAAACAAGGTGGTGCTGGTTTGGGCCTTCTGCAAGGGGTATTTGCACATGGAACAGGAAGGGTGGTTTCACCTGGAGAAGTTCTCCTTTCCGTTCTTCCCTCATCCACATCTCACTGTGGCTTTCATTGCATGTGGTGTGTGTGCACTGCAGCAGGCTGCTGAGCTTGCAGATATTTCTCTGCTGTATTATTGTGGAAACTGTAAAGCTGTATAAATACTAGAAGCTCTCATGTATTTGTGCCAAGTGAGCCCCACTGTTCCATGTTCCCCACTTGTCTGACTCCTTTGCTGAGCCTTTTTACAAGTCCTTCCTCCCCAGTGAGTTTGCTTTGTGCTGATTCCTCCAAATGGTGTTCACAAGATGAAGCACCTCCTCGTTCTGCTGAGTTTTCCTACAGTTTTTCCACCTCCTGTGAGTTAGGGTGGAGGTGTGAATTGGCCCTGCCAGACTTCTGGTCCTCCAGCCTCCATGTGCTGCACCAAATTCTCACACCTGTGCCGGCAGGACAGAGATGGAGAAGCTTTATGGTACATCTGTAATAGGAGCGCTGTCTCCACATCGGGCTAGGGCTCACCGTCATACCAGGGCCTCCAGGCTGTAGCAGGATTGGATATTTCCATCTCTTCTCATGCCTTGCAGTAAGAGATGTGTTCATTCACAGCTATCTCCTGGATGCTTTGTCAGCTTGTGGCCACGTGCCAATAGGGTGTGCAGTAGAGGACCCAGCAGGTACCTTGTGGGCCCTGCCTTACTCATCCTCAATCTAGATAGGTCACCCATTAGTGCAGACTCAGATTTTCCCTATCTCCTTTGCTCCATGACTTCCTTAAGGCTTTCCCTCAGTCCTGAGTGTGGAGTTCTGTGGACAGGAGACAAATGCAAGCCCACAGACAGGTTCAGCCTAGACTTGTGTCCCCTCTTCAACTCCAGCCACAACACCTTTCTCCCTCACACCCACATCCAACTCCTTCCCCACCACCACGTGGCTTAAAAAGGGTCCCTCAGTGCCACACAGCCACTGCACTGCAATTCCCACTGTTGTATTCCTCATAATCAGCTCACTCTTACCTCGTGCTTCACATGTCTCCTTGTCTAAGGTACCTGTCATCTCCTGTCTCACACTTCAGCTGCTTGCTGTCTGGGGCAGGGGCTGACATTTCACCAGCTGCACAGCTCAGCGACGAGCACAATCCATCCTTGTTGGATGTCTCTGGGTGCTACTCTGTTATATGTAATAACGGAGCAAATAGCAGGTTTTAACCTCAAAGTAAAGGTCACGTTCATGAAAGAGAAAACAGATTATTTCAGAGGGTAAAGTCTTCTCTCTGACCATGGAGCAGCTGCGGTTGAACAAAATTTTTGATGGGATCTAGGCAGTAAATTTGACTTTTCTGCAGGTTTTCCTACATGGTGAATCAGATTTCTAGGGTTAATAGCGTTGGGTTTTTAAGCCTGGTTTGTCTAACAGAAAGTTACAGTTCTGTAGTCAAATATTGTCTAGTTTTCCTGATACAAACAGGAAAATAAGTCTTTTTTTTTCAGACTTCTTTACATAACTGGAACACACGTTAAACTTAGATGTAAGAAAAGATATTTGTAAGAACATTAAAAATCCAGATATTGTGATTATTTGTTTTGCAACGCTATAAAAAATATCAATTCCAGTGGAGAAGAGATACAACATTGTGTTTTCCTACAATAAAGACAGAGCAATTCCAACAGACGTCTGTGCCTGGGAGGTCACTCTCCAGTGAGGAATAGGTCTGCGAACAACTTTTTCAGACCTGTGTAGTCCATTTTCATCCTTTTTTGCATTCTTGTTCCAAATCCACTGGGATTTCTGAGAGCAAAGGTAGTTATCCCAGTGTGAGCAGGGGATGCCTGGTTTTTCACAGCGTGGGGTGACCGGAGGGATTCAAAGGTAGTGTTCGGCTCATTAGCACATGGAATTCAGCTGGGACTGCAACTTGAACTGCCAGCCAGTCTCTCAGATCACCCCACCAGCATCCTCTCTGGGAATGTTCTGTGCTGTTTGCCTTGTCTCTCTGAGTGTCTGAGGTGCTCCAGGAGCTTTTATCCTCTTCCCTGACAAGCCTGTCTGTCTCTCGGTGGCTGTGGATTTGTGTTCCCCGGTTGTTTGGCATCAGTGCCTCTCCCATGCACACTGGTGCTCACACATACTTTTAATTTCTTCTCTGTACACACGACACAAATAACACCACTTCCTCCAACCAGGCAGTCGGCACATTCTGGTGACCGCAGCTGTGGAGGAGCCAGTGCTCCTTGTGTTAATGAAATGTGAGAAAATGACCTGATTTCCTTCTGGGAGATTTCTTTGTGTCGTGTCTCAAGGGTATGATTTATCTTTGCTGAGGTACCTGTCATTTGTGAGCCAGGCCTTGGTTCAGGGCAGGTTATCACAGGGTTGTGCTGTGTAGCCTTAATGGAATAAGAATGCGGTGGGTTGTGTTCCATCAAAGTCCGGCATTGTTTCTTCCTTGTCTCTCATTAAAATGAGTAACTGGAAGTTCTCCTTTGCCAGTGTTTCACTCTGAGAGGATTTCTCTCTAATAGATGTCAAACTGGCCCATTAAGAAGTGGGTAATGAAACCTAGGTGGCCCAAGTGAGCTATCAGCATGCAGCCCAGCACAGCCTCTCACCACAGCCAGGATAAGTGATAAATGCTATTATAACCTCAGCTTGCTACTGCTGTCCGGACACATTAGGACTGAGCAAGCACTTTAAAATAAATTAAGAACACAAATAACTGTGTAAAACACAGGAAACAAGCCTCATAATTCAGGTGGATGGGCTGCAAGATTAACAGCTCAGGGAAAGCTGGATAGCAGCCCTCTGCGGTTCATTGACTCTGACGCCTAATAAAATAACAAAGGAGAGTTTGGGCAGAAGGAGCCAATGCCAGCTCTTGTTGACACGGGAGAAAAGGGGAATTGAATTGTAATTCTTAGACATCCCAGTGCACCAGAGATTCTCCTTCCCCCTACAAGGTCTGCAACTTACTGCAAAGCTCAGTCTCAGCTGGTGAATGGAAGGGGACAAGTTGGGTCTGGTTTTGCTTCTTAGATCTGGCAGTGGAAGGTACTCAGAAAACTACTCATAATGAGGTGTGTATCTTCATGGTTCAGGTATACAGAGTTTTTTCTGAGAGCTTCAGACATCTCAGCAGAAGCCAGATCCTGTTCAGGGAGCCACAGGGCAGTGAAGCTGGTGGAGCTGGCACTGGCTGTGTAAGAAACTGCTTCTAAATGAAGCCTTCATTGGAGTTAATTGCCACCCCCACACTAATGCTGAGAACCAGATGAGTTTTATTATGCATACAAGAGCACTTCATCAGAGAAGGGCTAAGACAGATGAACCAGTTGCATAGAGCAAGTGTCAGCTCATTTATAATCCATTTGAAAATCCCTAAATGACTGCTCATGATAATCTGGGAGTGCTGTCCCATGGGGAGGATCAGTCTATGCCCTCATCTGACATTCCTCAAGCACCTGCTGCCAGCCTGGTATTAGAGAGAAGTCCTGGGTAGACTGATTTCTGGTTGAGTCCAACTCAGCAGTCATTTTATGATCATTCTGGCTGTGAGGATCTTTCTGTCCTCACTGCAGTTTGTGCAGATTTTGCCTGAGCGTTGGCAATGCAGGCAGCAATTCAGAATCAATTCATATGACAGTGGAAATAAGAAGAAGTGTTGCCAGCAAAGAAACCTTATGGAAAAAGCACAGTTCTCTCATAAACTGGCAATTCTTGTGCTTGTACTGGTTTTGAGGGCATGTTGGTTAGGGCTTTTTTTTTACTGTTTTCTTTCTGTATGTAGAGTGCCTCAAATGCAGATGGTATCTGACTCGAGTAACCCAGGAAGAATTCGACAGTGCTGCTAGAAATCAATAGAGAGGAATTCCAATGAAAACATGGAATCAGCAAGCATAATAGAATTTTGAACTGTATTCTTTCTGTTCTCTTTTTAAATAAAAGAAAAAGACAGGGGCCATCTGATCAGTGCCTCTGTCCCTTCAAATCACAGGCAAGCCTGCAAGAGGCAGAAAGGAAAATAAAGGGAAACTTCTCCAGCTAACATAGAAAAATTCAGTTATTACAGTTCAGTAAGCAATTGTGTTGATGAAAAACCTTGACTGTGCAGGCATCAAGGAGAAAGGAGTAAGTGACAAAGACCATATATTGGGACACCATGAATAGGAATATATAAATAATCTTAATGAACATACAGGGGAATCCTCTGTAGCTTGTCCAGGCAGTTTGTTCTGGAGATGTGGTTTGAAGCTACCTCGATGCACTAAAGGAGAAAACTTCCTGTTATCTCACCCAGGTGGGTGTCTGTGGCAGGGACCATAGCTGGGAGGATGTGCAAAACAGCTTTCTAGTCTTGCTGGGTGTTTCAGCTGCATTCATAGTACATATGGACTCCAGCTTCCCACTTTTGGCCTTTGGCTGAAAAACGGATCATGTTTAACTTTTTCCTTTTTTTAAAGTGCTGTTTCAAATTTCCCTGAGCCCACAGGAGAAAGATTGGTTTGGTTGTTTTGTTTTCCGCCATAGAATGTTCTTGGGGATCTTATCCTGTCTAGTTTCAGACTTGCTGCTCAGATATCTTGTGATATCATGGAAAGCTCTTTCCATCCTCTAACAAGATTATGAACTTTGCTGTATCTTTTTGCCCACAGCTGAACAATCTCATCAGGGAAAAGTAAGGGGGAGAAAGACCAGATAACTGAGGGTCTTCCTCCATAGTTGATCTCTGCTAATTACCTTTCTTTTATGTTGCAGATAATCAAGCTTGAAAAAAATGGGAATGGGTACCACTACATTCTGGCAAATATGGTGAGTTGCCCTCATTGATGTTCATTTTTAGATATCTCTTATGTTGTAAAGCAATATATTTATGGTTACTGAGATGAACACCTTTTTTCTCATCTACTTTTTGGGTAAAAAAAAAAAAATACTGAAGTCCTTTGCTGTGTTCTCCTTGTGGAGTGTTTCCTCTTAAGACATCAAATTTATCTGCAGGGTATCTCTGAGTGTGCTGGGGTTTTGTGGTGATTTGACCTTGACTGGATGACAGATGCCCACCAAAGCCTCCTTAGTGCTACATTAAATCTGACTGTCATGGCTCTAAGGAAAGAATTGGCTCTTTAAGGAGACGACTCCCCCTTTAATGCAGAGGGTGCTGCCTGAGGACAGAGCAATATTGGACAGCATCAGGGCTGGATCAAGTCTCTTTCTGGATCAAGTCTCCTAGGAGGATGGAAAATTTCCCTACCTAGGGGGTTTTGGGAAGCTGTGAGAGAAACAGCCTCAGTCCATAGGGCAGCTGGAGGTTTTCCACTGCAGAGCTCCTCACCTCTCCTCCCTAGATGTGTCCATCCATCCATCCAGGGAGTTGCACAGCAGAGGATGGGCTGTTGTTGGCAGCCTGAGGCTGATGCTGTTCCCCCAGGGACCCCTGTGTCCGTGTGGGGTGCAGGCTCTGGACCTGTTCTTCCCACACAGAGCTGCGTCTGTGAGGCAGCACGTCAGCCCTGGGGTAATTAAACTTTAAACTACCAATTAGTCAAGCAGTTGCTGCCCTTCTCCTTCTCTTGGTCCCAAGATAACTCTCTAATTTACAAGGCAAAAATGGCCACATCATTACCCTGCCATGCCCTGTTCTGACCCTGCACTCTGCGCTGGCCGCCTACCGTGTAATTACAGAGATAAAAATGTTACGTTGTGCAAGGGGAGACATGCAAAACCGTAGAGCAGCCAATAACTTTAGTTGCTAATTTTTAATAAATTATTATTTGCTGTAACCCAGGTCCTGAATGTTTATGAAAGTCCCTTCATTAAAGTTGAGCAGGAAAGTGAGCCAGAGTCGCTGGAGTGTGCATGTCCTTGTGCTGATCTGCACACCCACATGGAAGCCTGGATGAAAATATCACCTCTCCTCTCTGTGCAGTTTCATTAGGATATATACATTAAAAACATGAGGTGAACTAACACTCAGGTGCTGTAGTTTGTAAGGACATTTCCCTCTGTCTTCTGATACCATGCTCTCGCACTTTTAGCAGGAGAAAGCACACCTGTCCCATCTTTAATGTGTTTTCTTAGCCTTTGCACAAATGTTGAGAGGACAGAGCTAGCTGGAAGAGGCTGCATACTCAGCCAACAGGGGTTATAAATAATTAACTTGGAGCAAAAGGCTTTTCATTTCCCCCAGCCCCTCTGCAGGGAGATTCTGCCTCCCACTGCAGCTCAGTGGAGGGGGCTTTGGGTCCCATAGGGACCACCAGAATCCACTGTCACTAGCTGTGTTTTTCAAGGAGCTTTGATTGGCAAGAAAGAGAGTGAAAGTAATTCAAGCTTTACCTTTTGTCTTTCCTGCTTCTTAAAACTTAGCATCACACAAGAGCCAAACTCGAGAGAGGAATATATAAAAAAAAAAAAGAAAAGAAGAGTAGGGCATAATCATGAAAAAACTATTTTAAAAAAAGGAAGCCTAGCACCCCTCAAGGTTAAGAAACCCTTTCTTTCCAGGACAGAACGGTGTGGGCACGTTCAGGCACCAGCAGCCAAATCAGTTTCTGTGATGTGCTGCACCCGCACAAGAGCTACTGACTGATCTGTTCAGCAAGGAGAATGGCAAAAAGACCCTGAAGATCCCATGTTTCTGAGACCATAGGCTAGCAGGGGAGGACAGGAAGATTCCCTACGTGGGGAAGGCCAGGGATGTTACAAGGGAGTGTCAGAATGAGGGAAGTCAGCGTCTGGCAGGGTTAAACCCTAGTGCAGATGCTCTGATCCAAGAGATCACAGAGGGTTTTGCCCTCTCCTAAGGACATCTTGTTGCTGGATTAGAGCCCCCAGAGGGTGTAACGTGCTGTAATTTATTCCCACTGACTCATGCACATAGTGGCAGACCTTAAACAGCCCGCATTTCCCCCTGTAGACACGTCCTGAGATGACAGGGCGTGCACTGCCCACACACACACACACATGTACCCTCATGCACACCCTCGTGCATGCCTGGAGAACAGCCCTGGTTTGTGGAAATGGCTCATTCTGGAGCACTGAGTCGTCAAGAGAATAAATTAAGAGCTAAAGCCTGGAAGTGTCAGGTTTTCAAATGAGTTATTTTTGGTCCCCAGTGCTGACTGATGGAATCCTGAGTTTAGGACTGTCACACTTCATGAAGATAAGGTCAAGAAAGTCCTCAGCTGGTTCATAGCCACCAATTTACCTGCAGGAGCTGGAGCAAGGAGATGAATTTTCAATAGCTGCCTTTTGCCTAACCTTCTTGAATATGGAAAAATGGGGACACAATTATGGAAATTATACATTGGGAGAAAATGTTGGGAAACATTTCTAGATAACCCCACTTAAATTCTTAGTTTTAGCTATGTGTTTGCTCAGAGCTATACTCAGCCAATAAACAAGCAGCAGCACGCTACTGCCCAGTTACAGCAGCTTCAAACTGGTGTTGCATCGTGAATGCAAAGCAATGGAGTTTGCAAGGCAATGCACAGGTTGAATAAGGTCTAAAAAAATCATCTGCAGGTGCATTTTGAAGTGGAGGAGTTCCCCGTCTGGTCACAGACAGTCCATGAGCAAAGAGGCGATGCCTTGCATTAATCACCACGTGTTTTCCCAGCAGTTGCTGTCGGTGAGCTGTAGTAAAGTACTGAGCAGAATTTGACAAGTAGCAGCAAATGAAAGCTGGTATTTCCTAGCAGGAACAGCTTTCTTTTTCAGTGAAATTGCTGTTGCCAAGGTGAGACAATAATATTTCTGTGTTCACAAACAAAATGAAACCATTCTGCACCTTAGGCCATGGGCAAACATCTTTCTCTAGACCTGCTATGCCTGCTAAAGACACAACCTACCTTTTCTACCCAGCCCTCCCCGTTCCACAGTGGTCTGTCTGCCACATCCCTGCCAGGGGAAAGGTTTCTGTGAGCATCCCTGCTTCTCCTTGAGGTAAATTTGGCACTGTTCATGGCTTTTGTAAAGTCATGAAATCCTGATCCTCAACCAGTACCCATTAGAGTTATCCCAGTTAGCTTTTACCAGCTGCCAGCCTGGATATTTGTCAGGAGTACCACCACTGGGGGTTTGCAGTTGTCTCTGTCTCTCTCTTCCCCTCGGGAACTCAGAGAGATTTTACGACTTTAAGAAGTGTTTGTTTTTGTGAGTCTTATTTTTCTAAGCTTTGTTCTCAGCCTTTGAGATCATCAGTCTAGCATCCACAAAGGAAGAAAAGAATACAGTCAATACTATCAGAGGAGCAAGCTTAGAAACTTCTGGGATTCCTTTCTTCTGATGTTCAGGCTTTTTCCCCATAACCTTGGCTTTGTGTATCTGTTTGCCCTATGCCATGGATGTGAGATGACTTCTGCCAGTAGTGGGAGAACATTAGCTCTCTTAGGCAGAGAAAAATCTTTGTCTTAAAATAAGAGCCATTTGTGTGACCTGTCTTTAAATGAAAAGTATGAAAGACAGCTGCCCCATATGGTGTTTTAGCCTTTTTTTTTTTTCCTTCCTTTCTTTCCTGGTGCATTAGTCCAGGTTGTTCTTTTAGCAAATGCTCTTTTTTAGAAGATGAATAGATAAGTGTATGAGATTGCTGATGCTAGGGGTAGTAGGGAAAAGTAAAGATAAAAACATTGCTGATTAGCCAAGGTAAGCACTTTTTCCTGTGCTATTCTCCATCAGCATGTGTCAGCACTGAGACAGGCCATGGACAGAGTTTTCCTGTGCAAACGGTTGTGGTGGTGGTGGAGGTTATCAGCACAGCACAGTGTCACACGCTTTGTCAGCACAGTGGCTTGTGCAGGAGTCAGGCAAGATGTGCTGTTTTGATTCAGTTCACCCGTGATTTAGATGGGCACCTTTGATTTCCCCCCCCTGAAAAATGGAATGAAGAACGTCTGCACCACCAGGGCTGAGAGTCATTATTGTGAGACCAACTCCTGGTGCAGACAGTGAAGAAGAGGTAACCTGAGCTGGCCACCACATCCCTGGGGAGCAAAGTTCTCCCCCCACAGGCAGAGATCAGCCCCCCTAAAGCAATGCAGCACCCCTACAGCTGCAGCATGTGCTGCGACTCAGTGGGGAGGGTCTGTGCATGCCCCAGTGTGACATGTGGCACTGGCCATGTGTTAATGGCTCCACTCCCTGCACCAAACCACTGATTCATCTTGCCTGGAGCTAAAAGGCTGCGGTTCTGTCTCCCTGCACCTCGAAAGCTGCCACGTTTATTTGAGTCGGCCTCAGTTCTCAACACTGTCTCCTGTCCTTGGAGGTGCTGCTGACTTGCAGTACAAGCATGGTCAGCAATGCTCATGTTCACATCACTCACTGATTGGAAATTCTCTTCTGTGGAGTTTCCAAAGGGATGTGTACAGCATCCCCTTCTCGTCCTGTCACGATGCCTGGTCTTGCAAACTTGTACTCTTATATTGGAAAGAGATATCTTAAGTTATTTTTAGGGTTCTAAAATTATACCCGCTAGACCTTTCCTCTTTCAGAGGCGTTGGTGCAAGTAGGCTCATGAGACACATTTATTTTCTGTTCAGAGTAAGACAATGTAATATACCAGTGAAACTTCTGAAATCCACATTTCATCTCCAAACAGCTTTTCTTTCCTGATTCAAAGATTATCAAGCAGAAGAACCCCATATAACATTACCTCATCTGAATCACTGATAGTAAAAGACACAGCAGTGCCCTGAATTAATTTTTGCTTGAACTAGTGTCTCATATAAAAGAAAATTATCTGATTGGATACAAAAATTGCCCACACAGGAGAATATGAACAGCAACCTTGGGAGGATTTTTGCAGTAGT